GAGAACTTTATAATCTTTAATTCAGGGAATGTTAGAATATTTTAACTGGAGGTTGGAGATTTCATTATATTGTAGTATAATACTAGTAGCCGATTCTGTTGTAATTGTTCATTTAGTATTGTTCTTTCTTCTTTTATTTGCAAATTTCTAAACTAATTTAGTTTACAATAAGATGTTTGTACCACACACGCAATTACAAATCCAACTGCCTTTTTCACTCACCTCTATCTATCAATTTCCAGTTTGTTTGTTCTTTTTCACTCTACTTTTGATAAGGGGCCAAAGAAGTCAAACCCCTTTAGATTTTGATATGGTCTGACAACACGCTATATAAAACACTGTTTCTTAAATCTAACAAGGCATTCTTTGCCAGCTTTGATATTTCTCTTTCAATAAGTAACCAGTATATAGGTCTAGTGCTGTATAGTGGGACAAAGTTACTTAGGTTTGAAAGAAAAAAGACAAATGGAAAAAGAAATGCATTTAATCATCTCCAAACCAAAAGAAATTGAAAAAATCTAATCAAATCATAAAAGTTTTCCCCTGCTTGGAAATAATAGATTTTTTTTTACTGACATTTATTTTCACAGCTCTAGTGTCATCCTCAGATTCAAGGTCTGTCCCAATTCCCCGAGCATCAGTCAGTGTGTTACCTATCTAACCTGGTGCTACCTCACACCTCCCATCCCCATTTCCCTCCAGTCCAACTTGCTTTCTTTTCCTTGAACTGAAATGTCCTCTCTGGCAGAACAATTCAAATAAGACACAGTGTTTGCGTGGGCCTCAGAGCTTGTCCTTTCGCACATCAGCTCCTCATTGGAAGCCGCCTGCTTGTATTGGATGCAAATTGGGTATTAAAAGAGGGAATAGAAACATGAGATAGCGTGACACCGGGAGGCTGAGGAGAGAGAAAGAGCGCAAAGGATAGAGAGAGAGGCTTAATGCGAGGAGAGAATGCAAATGCTGTTGAGACAGCGAGGTATGGATGGAGGAGAGGTGGATGGATGGTTGGATTAGGGGGGAAAGAAAGGAGAGGTTCAGGTGTTAGTGTGACTTTTTGGCAGGGTCAGAGTTTTTCTCTGGATGACGGCGACGGAGCCAGATTTGCATTGATGGATCTTCTTTCCATGGAGATGTCATGTATCAGTGCTTGGGCACATCACGCCCCAGTCATTAATCAAATCATGGCCTCCGTCTAGAGCTGTCTGTCTGCCAAACACTTCTCAGCTGCCTACTTCACTCTCTCACTCTCCCTTTCTTTGTCTTTGTAGCGATCTTGGTCAGCATTTTTCCTTTTCGGCCACTCTCAGCCAGATGCCTTTTAAATGAGTTTTTGTAATTCACAGTCATATATTTCGGCTGCGTCCAGTATATGCAACATCTGGAAAAAAGACTGATTTTGATATAGAAATTAAATATATTGTTTAAAAGAAAAATTACAGCAGTAGTTTCAAATATATCAATAGCGTCAAGAAAAATAAAATAAGTGATATGAGCATTTGTGCCTGGTAAGATAAACAGTTGAGTTAAGAAAATCTTTGATACTCAAACTAGAATTTCTTTTATAAATGTGACATTGTGTGCATGTTTTTTCTGTCTTTTATCTTCTTGTATGCAACTTTACAATTAAAAGTTACCTTTGCATTTATTCATGAAACAATTCTTAAAGGGAAAAAATACATGTGTACACACAAATGCAAAAATGTACGTACAGGATTTTCATATACTTGATTCTGTTTTCTTAAGTTCTAATGTCTTTGTGAAATGATGGACCCGTGTACAGGCCTAATTTCCCCTCCCACTGTTTACCATAGGTGGATGTTGGCACACCCTTAATCAGTTGTTTGCATAAGTTTGCTCCACCACTCTTGTCTATGAAAATAACAGCAAAGACGTGCAGTTTCACACAATTGTATCGTCAAAAGTATTTTAACAATGCTTTTGCAGCCATCCCGTCCATGTATCCATTGCTATTAATCTCTTAATTAAGCATTAGATTCTTACATTGTATGTACATGTTTTTTTTTAAGGAGCGCTTATGAACCTCTCAAATAACTTTCCTCTGTTTTGTTCATTTTATGTTTTTACCTTGAGGCGCAAGAACCCTATGCAAAACACATTACACCACCCGTCTTTGATTTTCACTTCTATTATTCATTACCATTTAAACTTGCTACCGAACTCTATTAGTATCCCATCCCTATCAGAAAAAAGGAAAACATCTTAAAGGCAGTAACAGACAGTACACACACGGGTTTGTCGGACTTCTCAAATCTTTGTGTAAAAAGGATAATAAACTAAAAATATAGACAGTTTGTCATGCAGGAATCACTACATTTATCATTAAGGTATTTACTTTCCAAGTTGTTTTTGTAGTGAACAGGCTAAATCTTTACTAAATGTTCCTCATTCCCATACTTCCCATCTGGTGTGCAGCCCACCACTGTATACACATTTCCACACACACACACACACGTGCCGTGCTGTCAGCCTTCCAGCCATCCAAGCTGTCTTCACATATAATGTTTTGACCATGTGTGATCTTCATCACATCCGAGGCTAACTTTTCTTCACTGTCTGGAGGGTTATGACCCCTTAGCCTCGAGTGACATCATGTTGTGATAGTTTTTGCCACGAGTGATCATCACCCCACAGTCTCAGCCCCCTGCTGCACCTGTTCTACAATCCAACGTAATGCTTGGGTTTGGAAGGAAGGCTTAGTTTTAAAAATGGAGGGAGACAACAGATTCAGCGTGCGTGCAAAAGTAAAAGGTCCGTTGTTGATGTAGATGCTAAATTCATTGACACCCCCCACACTCTGCACTGCCCTTCTTAGCTCAAGCACCATTATGGTCTTTCAGGCTGCTTCCTGTTCTGTTTTTTTTTTCTTCCTTCTTCTGCACCCCTCCCTTCAACACAAAAGGTGACTGCCCAGGCTCTGGGGGTGTAGCACTTTTGAAATGTGAAGGGGCTTTCAGGTTCTACCTTGGTACAGGCCTCTGTTGGTCAGAGTAAGAGAGGACCAGGAGGAAATGAAGGACAGGTTTGTGTAATGGTCTCCCCTCTCTGCTTGTGAAGGTCATGCATCATTGTTGGCCAGCGGAGGTCTAAAAGACAGACCAATGAAGGACCACAAAGCAGAGCTTTGGCAGGGCTAATGAAACTCAGAGCTACGCGTTAATGATCTAAAAGACTGGACCAAAACACTCAGCGGTCCCTTTCCGCTCACATTCAAACTCCTCTTGATCGGCCTTTCCAAATAATGAGAAGGCACTCTGCTGCTTTACCTTCATTGTTACCTTTGATGTGTGCCTTGTTTTCTTTGTCTAACGTTCCCCCCTCCCTCCTTTTCATTCCTTTATGTTACATGGCTGTCACTCATCTATTAAGGCTACAAAATGGAAAAAGGAAAACATTCAGAGAGTGTATTGTGGTGCACCAACTGGTTTGCTCTTTATTTCTTTTGAAAGCACTTGAACTTGGAATTTTCCTTGGGCTGCCAGCCGAATACACTTTTTTGTTGGAGCCATTGTAACAGGATTAAAAAAAACATATTTGTTTTGTAATCCGCATGTCTGTAATCCTGTAGTTTAATGTATCTGTGTAACTTTTGGGGCTAATTGTCTTTTCTTATTGTGTTTTTTTAACTTTTCTTACAGTTGCAATGACAAAATAAAGTAATTACCATAAATAATGTTATTTAACTCCCCTCTAGTACTTTTGATACAATTAGTAATAACTCTGATACAAAAAGACTTAAAAATAAAAAGCTCATTAGTGTTTTATATCTACATTAAGAATGGCAAATAAACCGATGCACTCTTGGAAGCAACTCTTTGAAGAAACTGACATATAAACATGCAGTAAGGTTGCAATAGGTTTTAGAGTGGAAGATGTAATTATTTTTTAGCATCTTAACTGATCAAACTGTTTAGGTGGTATGGGGAGACATTTATTTCCACCCTTAACTTAATTACTAACTACTTAGTTTTTGGAATTGTGCTTTATGAATAAACTCTCACCCTATTTCTATCATCAGTGTGATCCTATGCATAGTTTATATAACTTGATTGATAATCGGTTGGAATCAACCTAAAACGAGCAGTATTGTCATTAGTGTCTGGTCGTATATCAGTTTTATACTACAGATAATCGCATGTCTGTCCAAGATTAAGTCTTCATGACTTTAAGAACTAACCGTTTGGCCTGAAAAGGCATGCTGCATATTTTTAAAGCAGTAAGCAAACTTTCTCTCCCTTTGTCATTTTGCTGGTTATTACTGGGTTGCTTTTTATAAAGCCCTTTGACATGGCCTGATTATTTTGACTGCATTTTCGTGTCATATGTGAGTCAAGTGTTTTTCTTGCGGATCATCTGTCTTTGTGGCTCTGTTTATGTGCCATCATGTGGGTGTGCGCTTGTGTATTTCAGCAGTGTGTGGAGCCTGTTGATTGGTCTTGATTAACAGACTTCCAGGCACTAGGAGCAGAGTCTTTGTAATGTGGCATCTTGAGTTAGTTATTTCCAGTCGTTCCAGAGGAGGCCTGCCTTGAACCTTAGCTTATATGTTTGCATGCATGAGGTACTGAGAATGGGAGGTGATTGATCTCTGCTAAGGAGTGATCACAATATTTAAACAATATACTGATAGGTGCAGCTTTATAAAGATTTCCATCTTGTGGCCTGCTATAAAGTTTGAAGTGAATGTTAGATGACAGTTGAATATGAGACCAAATGAGCAATTTTGCTGATTAGCGTCTGCTAAGAGCGCTGAACTGAAAAGGAAGTAGTGATTCTCAAAAAATGAAAGATGTATAAAAGGCATTATAAACAGTCATAGTATAATCCAAGTGTTCAACTACAATTACCTTTAAAAGCACTTAATTGGTGTTTCCATATCTATTCCAAAACATGTGAGAAGCTGTCCTTGCAGTCCAGGGATCTTTCAGTTATATTCACAAAATGCATTTGAATTAATCCTCTATATGTATGTTTTCCAGGCAAACTGAGCAACCAGGATTCATACAACAACTTCACCAATAACAACATGGGAAATCCGCGGCTCACCCCACTGCCCAGCCTCACTGTGGTGCTGCCTCTGGCGCAGATCAAACAGCCCATGACTCTAGGCACCATAACCAAACGTACTGGGTAAGTAAAACAAATACATGTGAGGACACTTACTTTGGCCTTCTCCAGAGGTACTCTATATGATAAAACTGAGGGGTAATTACAAATAACGCACATAATTAATTCAAACTCATTCCCTCAAAATCCAACAATTGGCAGTATTTAAAAAATATATATTTTTGTGTTCTATAGTTGAGCTTGCTTTAGTTGCAGTTTACTTTGCCTTCTTCTTTCGCTGAATAAGCAACCGTTACTTGATGTGACATAGCTGTTTAAATGAGTGTAAATGTCAAGAGTTTTTTTTTGGTTTATTTCAAATGATACATTAAAGCTAGTTTCAAATGTGCTCAAATCCTAGCATTTTTATTTCTCAATCCATAAATTATTACGTTGACGTAATTTTGGGACAGAGCTCTTTCAGGGTTTTAAACTTTTTTCAAATGGTATGGAAAGTGATGAATGAGTAGAGTTAACAAAATCAATTATCACCTAAAGATAATTCTTTAAATTGTCTTACATTTTTTCACATTTTTTACCTACAGTCATTTTTAAAAGACTGTAGGTAATTGAAAACGACTTTATATCACTCTTGAGAATGAGACAAAATGCATATAACTTGCAAGAGATGCTAAATAGGATGATGAAATGAAAGTTTGTTTCTCTTAAGTGAATAAAAATACTGTAGTTTAAAAAGAACAAATCAAATATTTAATTTATTTTCATCCAAAAAAATTATCATAATTCTTCACACCAGGTCGTTTTCCTGATCTATACTAGCAACAATCTCTGTTTAGTTTTCACTACTTCCTCTATACACAGAACTAGTTCAATAAAATCGAAAGATATATTGTTATATTATTAATAAAAAATAAAACAATAACTATACTATGACTGAGGACAAATCTGAAACTTTAAAATAAAATGAAACTAAGATGCTGTTCTTAAAAGAAAAACTTGCTCTTAAACAATGTTTGCTTAATTTTCTATTTGGCCATCTGAAAAAGAATCACATTTTGATAGACCTTAGGGAATTTAGTTCCAATTCACATTATAAAAACATTGTATTTTGTCAGCTGTAGCCCAAAGCTTTTTACCTCTCACACATCCATTTTATTTTCATGGACTTCTTTTGTCTCAGGCCACCATTTTTTTGCATAGGGTAATGAAGCACAGCACGCATGCAGTCTCATTCTATAGGGTATTTTAAGGGAGTAACCTTGAATTAAAATGACATGAAGAAAAATAAGGAAACAGAATTAATGCCTCCAAAAGTAATTCTAAGTAACATTAGTCATTTTGAGTGTTGAAACAGGTCTAGTTCAGTCAAACGGCCCTGCTCTCATTCACCTTTTTTTTGTTGGATCTTTGCCATGCATTGAAATTTTGTAGTTTTAAGACCTTCAGCAACTACATGCCTTTGCTAAGTGCATTTACATACAGTACAGGTGGCTCGACAAATATGGGGAGATTTTAATATTTTCATTTAAATGTAATTTTCATGCCCTGTTTGAATGGGAAATGCTATAATGATTCAAACAGATGGTGAGGGATTTATTTTCCTGCGTTATTTGATAAGTGAGCTTTGAGGATGAAAATAGAGTGCTGATCCTGTGGTCAGCATAAACAGCATTTGGACATTTTCAAATCATTAAGATAACCTGCAAAGTTAATTTGCTATGTAAAGATTATTAATCCACACAGGCTGCTGTGGTGTTAGCATTTGTATGTTTATGAGACCCTGGCACTTTTGTTTTGCATTTACGTTTCAGTTGTAATATATAATGTCATACAAAGTGGCGCTATACTTTTGTTTCTTTCATTTCTCCTCCTGTTTTTACTTTTATTATACTGCCAGAGGGTGTATATATATATATATTATTTGGTCAACATGGCTCCACATGACTAAAGTTGTTAGACCAGGAACATTGTAAGCAAATATTATAAATACAGATGTGTGTTATTCTAAAGAATATTATATCAGACAGTATTCAGTACAGTAAATCTAAATATTTTTCGATTAGTTTGAAAAGTTTAAAAGGTTTTGCAAACTTTAAAGTGTATAATGTGCATATACTTTTGTCTGCTACAGTAGTCTCACAACATATTGCTTTGGTGCTTAAATGGAAAATTAGGAGATCTGATCTTGTCAGATGGTTATGGACCATTTGGTAATTTTTCACCCATAGACTCAACAGTTTCAGTCTTTGGTTGTAGATTGTTGCAATGATTGCTCTGCACGCCCGTATGTTTGTTCTTTTCTTTTTTTTCTCTTTTTTATTTTACACTGTGCTCTTTCTCTTTTTAAAACAAGAAAAACTTCCTCTTATTGTGTGACAATGGTCAAAATCGACCAAAGTTTTCACTTATTCTGCCTTATCATCAAAGACCTTCAACAGCTGCATTGGCTCTTTTGGGCCTTGTCAATGTTGGGCAGGCTGACCCAGTGTTGCCTCATTCTACCGTTCAGTTCAGAGGACACATCAGTATTAATACATCAGGACATGCAGCTGTGCAGCCAGCTCCTGCCGTGTGCATACAGCCTGCTCCTGCATGTACATGGATAAACCAATATACCACACCAACACACACACAAAGAGTGAGGCAGCAGGTTTGGCCCCTAGAGTGGGGGGTGATATCATATGCTTTTACGCTAAACTTGCACAGGAGTACCCCTGCACCATCTGTCTGTCTGTGCAGTCAGCCTCTCTCTTTCATTCTCTATGTGTGTATGTCTGTGTGTGTGAGAGAGAGGAGCGTCCGGCAGCTGCATTTACACCTGTATGAGCAGATCCCTGTTGGCAAGCCAGTAGAGGGACACACCAGCTGCTTAACCTATATTCCCTATCACGTTGTGTTTGTATGCATTGCACGACACAAACAGCAACAAATTGCTGATGCCTTTACCCTTTTTAGTTTGACTTTGCCCTGCAGGACTGCAGTGTTGCCTTTATAGGCACTGACTTTCTAAGTGACCACCAATGTGCTAAAGTTCATGCAGAGCTCCCTTTTCTCCTAAATCATTTTTTAAAAGTCACCCCCATGAAAGTGTGGAGGTAGGGTTTGATGTTGCTAAGCATCCACCCAAACAATCCAACTAGGCCAAGTTTAGAGACTGGAGAGATTAAGAAATATTTTTTACTAGATTTCTCTTTGGCATTTTGAACAAGAAATCGCATTTCTCTTGCACAGGCTCATTTTTTTGCATCTCAGACAAAGTGAATCCTCAATGTACTGGTAACACAATCAGATTATTTTCTCTGGTGAAAGAAATTTTCACACAAAGTTCCAACGGGCCAGAGTTCTTGAATGGGAGGTTTTAATTTTCAAAATCCCTGCCAGTCACATTTAGGATTTCTAGTACACAAAGTGCTGCACACTTATCCCATCTTAACACCGCCTGACTTTAACACAGACAAAGGAAATCCAAATGGAGAGATTTTAACATGCAAAACAAAACACCACCACTGACCAAATCCCGCCGTGGATATTTTCAAGCACAGGCGGATAGAGTACAGGCAGTGTAACAAGAAAGACAGCAGAAAAAGAAAAAAAAATGAAACCCTTTGACCTGTCACAGATGTGCCCTCAGCTTACAATAATACGTGGGTAAGAGCCAGTTTAGTGCTGAGCCATTGTCTTGTAGAGCCTCAAAGAGACCAGAGCTAAAAAGCCGCTTTAAGAATGCAATGCCCAGCACCACGTGGCAGCAAGGCTAAACCATTTGCACAAATCACCTTCCCTCCCTTTTTAATGGCCCAGGCGATGCTGCAATTAGGGCCTATGCGTTAGGAGATGAATGTGTGAAGGATTATTCTCCACAAGTGGGGTCATCGTCTACGCAAGTCGATTTCACTCACACTTTCTCTCTTCCTGCCTCTTTTTCTCTCCCCTGAGTGACACACCCACTCCCCTGTCTTAAAGTGTTTTTTTCTCCACCGCGCCAACCATTGTCTCACTGGTGACCTGTGTGGGACTTTTTTTCCTTCACCGAATCGGGTCAGGTAATGCGTCACATACTGTAACTGGCCTGTCTTTTTCGACACTGAGATCTAAACTGTTTACTTCCAGCTCAACATGGTGGACAGTTTTCCCAGAGTGGCCTCATGCCTTTGTTGTATTCAAAATGGTTTGTAATTTTGACGTATTGGTTTGTAATGTTAAAGTATAGGTTATAAGTTTTCCAACTCCCTCTAAAATCAATGCAGATTCTCCCATATGTTCATGGGGATAAGATCATTTCACAGTGACTAATCTTGCTATCCTACTCATCCTGAAGTTTGTTTCTCTCTTAACTCATTGTTGTAACTTGTGAAATTTGACAACGGTATTAACTTTCAATGTGTAACCTTGTGGCTGATGTCTGAATGTTGCCAGTAGCCCTTTCTTGAGGGTGATGTTTTCAAATTTTTATCTTATATCAATACTGGGATTAGCAACAGAAGTTGCTGCAAACAGTGTTCACGAAAGCAGAAGATGGCCTTCTGTTGTCGGGACTTGTGTACAAAATGGATGGATCAGGTTAACTGCTCACAGAGGAGGTATTTGACAGTGACATATTCCTCATCTTTTGCTATACAATGAGTATAACTAAAACACTGTTGTCATGGTCTATCACTGAATGTCTTCATCGCGTACCTGGGTTATGATGGTAAGACCAAAAGCCTATGTGACCGTTGCTACACCCATGTAGATCTCCCTCCGTCCGTTCATCACTTTCCCTTTAGTATCAGTCCATTTACTCAGCTGGAGGCCCAAAACAGGGCTCAGCAGGTTGAGTAGGCTCAGCGGAGAGTAGACGGTAGGGGCCATCTAACCCCCTCTGAAGCTCGTTGATAAGTGGTAGTTTACCCGGGGCCTCCATTACACCAACCAGTGTGTTCATTTGTCAACTTGCTCTCCAGGAGTAAGACATTCCAGGGCAAATTGTTGCTCCCTGTCTCCCGAAGGAACATTTTTCTACATATCCATGTACCAAGACTAATTGGATACTGTGTGCTATCATTGGGAGGGCCCAGGCGGAT